GCCAGCTGCGCTCTCCTGGGCAGCACAGTTCTCTGACCCCCCCCCACCTCGCTTATTTATACAAGGGAAGGACCGCCCGCCTTCCTGGGGCTTCCGTCTCTCCCGGGAGGGCAGGCAGGCAGGGGCCCCCAAAGGCGGCGAGGGGCGAGGGCTGTCCACTCACCATGTCTGTGCCCAGGTCAATGCAGAGGATGGTGACGGTCCCCAGGGGGAGAGGGATGTTGGCGATGATGAACAGCAGGAACGGGGTGATCTCGGGGATGTTGCTGGTCAGGGTGTAGGCGATGGACTTCTTCAGGTTGTCGAAGATCAGGCGCCCTGCCGGACGGAGGGCAGAGGCGGTCCGGAGGAGGCTTTTCAGAAAGCTTCTAAATGTGTTACATTCACCTAATTACTACTGTACTTAAAATTAATGAATATCATTCTGTTTGTAACAATAAGGATTCTTAAACAAATGTTTGAAGGCAGGGGACCCACAGAGGACCCAGGTGAGGAAAAGCCGGTGGTAGAGAAGCAGCCCCCACCCCCACCCCACCCCCCGTGTGCTCTCCACACCTTCCTCCACGCCGGTCACGATGGAGGCAAAATTGTCGTCCAGGAGGATCATGTCGGCCGCCTGCTTGGAGACGTCTGAGCCGGCGATGCCCATGGCGATGCCGATGTCAGCCTTCTTCAGGGCCGGCGAGTCATTGACTCCGTCTCCCGTCACGGCCACGATAGCTCCCTAGGGTGGGAAGAGAGGGTCAGGAGGCCCGGGAGAGCAGGGCTGGAGCCCCTTGGGCCCTGGGTCTGCATCAGACCGTCCAGGGGCTCCTGGATCCCCTCTTCAGGGCCGCGTCCTTTTGGGGCTGCCCAGATTTCAGGGGGTTTCTCCCCTCCCTCTCCCCCAAACCCTCTGAGGACCCGAACCCTCTCCTGGGGGGTTCTTCCTGGTGCCAAGACCCTTGGGCTAAAACCGGGTGGGACTGGCAACCTGGCCCTTTTGGTCTTGGGCCCTGCTGGCCCCCCCCCGGGAAGGCGACAGCCTCTGAGAATTGCCTGGAGCCCATTCCGGCCCTTGGTGGCCAAGAGGAGGCGCCCCCCCCTGCTTGTAGCAGAGCCGGGGAGGGGCAATGTGGGCCGCTTTCCTGAGGGTGCTTGGACTACAACACCCATCTGCCTTAGCCAGCGCCAACTGAGCTCTGCCAACAGAGAGGGAGGGCTGGAGGGGCACCCAACCGCCTCCCGAAGTCTCCACTCTTTCCTGAGCAAGCGCAGGAAGAACGTTCTGGTTCCGAAGAAGGTTTCTGGGTCCCTAAGAGAATGAACCCAACTCTCTCGCTCTCCCTGTCTCCCCCCCCCGGGGAAAGAGCATTGGGAGGGGGGGCTCCCCTACCTGCCGTTGACAGCCTTCCACAATGATGAGTTTCTGCTGGGGGGAGGTGCGGGCAAAGACGATCTCGGTGTGGTTCTTGAGGATCTCGTCCAGGTGCTCCGACGTCATGTCTTTCAGGTCGGATCCGTGGACCACGCACGCCTTGGCTTCCCTGGGGCGGGAGGGGCCACAACGATGCAGGAGAGCAAAGAGGGAAAGAGAGAGGGAGGGGCAGCTGTTGTCACATCAAACGGTCGGGTGTGTGTGTGTGTGTGTGTGTGTGCGCGCACACATGTTTGTCCCTCCAGAGCTGGGATTCCTTCAGAGCTGCATGCCTGAGCAATCGGACTGGCAAATTAAACCCCTCTTTACCGCTGCCCTTCCCCGGTAACCCTATCGCAAAGCCATGCAGGCTAATCTGCAAGGCACAGATTTGAGAAAAGCCTATGTTAGGAGCACAAGGTGTCGTGGTTATGGCATCAAGACCAGGGCTTGGGAGGCCTGCGTTCACATCCACATTGTGATGGCAGATCTTGGTCCGTCCGCATTCTCTCAGCCCGACCTACCTCACAAGGGTGTTGTTGCGAAGGTATAGTGGGAGGAAATACTATGCATATCTCCTCGAGATAACTGGAGGAAAGGCAGAATAGAACTGTAACATCACCACCACCACCACCACCATCATTGTTCCTCATAACAATAATGATAAAACGAACAGATGCTTTTCTCTGCTTCAGGGAGCACTACTTCTGTCTATGAGCCAAGTAGTATCTCATCTTGTTTGACCCTCCAGGGAGGCCGGGATGAGGACAAGGACAGAACCTCTTGTGAATCAAAGGACCAGCCTACCTCGGGTTGACCTGGTTGACAGGGATATTGAGTCGGGCGGCAATATCCTCCACGGTCTCGTTCCCCTCGGAGATGATGCCCACTCCCTTGGCAATGGCCTTGGCTGTGATGGGGTGGTCGCCAGTCACCATAATCACCTGTGGGAAGAAGACAAGAGGAGCCCTTGAGCCACTGAAGGAAAACTGTACGCTTGGCGGTTTCAGGAAATCCCCTCAAGTGACCAGCCTGGGGGGGGGGGAAGTTCCCTTAAAGCCAGCTCCCATGCCTCTGCGCCCGATCCCTGAGAAATGTGGACGGTGTGTTTCCGGGAGGGAGGAGCACAGCAGGAACAACCCCATCGCGCCCGCCTCACCTTAATGCCAGCGCTCCGGCATTTCCCCACGGCGTCCGGCACAGCTGCCCGAGGAGGGTCGATCATGGACATGAGGCCCACGAAGCAGAGGTTGGTGATGGGGAAGTTGACTTCATCCACGTCGAATTTGAAGCCTCGGGGGAACTGGTCCTCTGGGAGGTAGTAGTGGCAGAAGCCTGGCGGGCCGAGGAGACGGGAGATGTCCCAGCGGCTGGAAGGCCACCTCTGCCCGCCCCTGCCCGACGCTCCTGCCCTGTTTGGAGGGCCCCCCCTTGGGGCCGATGCCCCCACAGGGGAGTGGGGGCTGGTTGCCAGGGACGGAGTCTCCTCCTGGTTGTGGAGCCCCCCCCCGAGAGGGAGCCAAGCTGAGAGAGGCCCTGGGGGGAGCTGCCCCTCCAACCGACTGACTGACTGCCCGCCCCACCACTCTTGCAAAGCGTCCTGCCCCCTGTTGCCCCTGCCGAGGGAGGGGGGTTGGGGGGTTAGGGGCCTTGTCCCATCTGTCCAAAGAGGGTGGAGGACCACCCCTGAGCCCCTCCCTCCCTCCTTGAGCCCCCTCCTCCTCACCCAGCACTCTCTCGCCCAGGCCCCCCAACTCCAGGTAGGCGTTCTGGAAGGCGTCCCGCATCTCCTCGTCCAGCGGCACCTCCTGCCCTTGCAAGAGGATGGTGGAGCAGCGGTCCAGGATCCTCTCCGGCGCCCCTTTCATCACCAGGACGTGGCCATTGGGCCTGTCCTCCGGCTCGTGGATGGACAGCTGAGAGAGAGGTGGAGAGATTAAGGTGGTTCAGGGATCGGAAGGTGGGGCGGAAACTGGGCAAAGAGCCGCCTCCCTGGCCAGCGTCTGCTCTCCCGTCAGGGCTGGGGGCGCTCGAGCCCTGGGCGGAGCCTGCCTCTCCTGGGGGGTGTCCCAAGGGGGCCGTGACCCTTCCCCAACCCAGGCGGGGCTGACCGGGCCCTCTGGCCAGTTCCCAAGGCCACTGGGAAGCCCACAAGCCGGAGGGTTTCTGTGTCTCTCTGTGTGTAAGAAAGCCCCGGCTCCTTTCCTCCTGGGGGTGGGGGGCAGCCCGGTCTCCCCAGTCGCCGCACCTGGTATTTGTTGGTGGAGTTGAAGGGGATCTCGGTCACTTTGGGACTCTTGTCTCTCATCTTCCTGACGCACCCGCAGGAGAGCTCGATGCATTTCAGCAGCGCCGACTCGGAGGCATCGCCGGCCGTGTCCCTCTGGACAGGGAGAGAAGGGGAAGAGGAGGGAGGCACTGGGCCTCCTCGCCGCCAGACTGCGCCTGCCCCCTGGCACCCCTGCCATCCGCAGCGTGCCCCTGGACCGGGTCAGGGCGGGTGGGGTCCCCCACGCGGTGGAGGCAGGAAGAGGAGGAGAGGACGCCCCCGTTTTCCTTCCTAGCTGGCCCCGAGCAGACCAGGAGGAGTGGCGGCTTCTCTCTGTCACAGCTAAGATCTCCCTCTTCCACCACCCCCCTTGCCAGGGCAATGCGTTGCTTTTCCCCCACCCTGGCTGTACAAATGAGCCATGTGCCACTTTCTGCCACACGGGGATGAATACTGCTCAGTGGGCATGCATGTGCTGCTTCTCCACATCCTGCTGGGTTGCGATTCTGTTCACGCTCACTCGAACCCAGCTCTGTGCTCTCGGCTAGCGCCCCCCCCATACCTTGGAGATGGGTATGTTCTCTTGCCCTGCCTTGAAGACTGCTCGGTTGCACAGCCCTGCGATGCGGGCCAAGGCTGTCCACGTGGGGGAACGCTTGTCAAACGTTGCTCCTGTGGGGGAGAGTAGAGCGATGGGGGGTTGGCACTTCAGGTGAGGCCCCCAAAGGCCAGCCTGGGGTGGGGGTGGGCTCCCTCTCTGAAGGGGAGAGTCCCTTCCAAGAGGGCTCCGTGCCTGTTGCTCGGTACGGTGGCCTTCAGGAAAGGATCCGTCTCTGCCCCTCGTTACTCTTTAGGAAACGGTCTGCTCCCCTCCTTCCTCTTTCGAGCACTGGCAAAGCCCTTCTTTTTTGAGGCCCTGTTGTGGTGCTGGGGGGGGCATCAAGGGGGCAGCCCTGACTGCCTGGGGGGGGCCCTCCACGCCAGGAAGAAGGCTGAATAGGGGGCTCCCCCTGCCGGCCCACGGCTCTCCCGGACACTCTTCCCGCAGCCAGCTGGTGCGACCCTGGCAAGGATCGTAGGAGTGAAACCCCGGGACGGACGCTGCCAGAAAGAGCCCCCGCGTAAGGATCGCTTCATTCCATCACGAAGAAAGGGCTGGATTCTGGCCGCCGGTTGGCAGCTGCTCCCCTCTGCTTGGGAGCCTGGAGCTGCCCCTCAGGTTTCAGGTCCACCCTGTGAGGCTAGTCCTGAGAGGAGGACACGCTCTGCAGACGCCCGGGTGCTCGCTCTCTCTCCCTCTCTCTCTGTGTCTGTCTTCTACAATTCAGGCCCAACCCTGGCTCTTGTGGGGTTGAGTTCTGGCTGAAGCCCTCAGAACTAGCCCCAGAGTTTGGGGATGTTACTTTTTGGGGAACGGCGGCCGATTGGCCTGCTGATGGAGCAAGGCGGGGGGGCTGCCTGGCCACGTTCGCTCCTGCCCCCACTGCCCTTTCCTAAGCCGCTCTGGGGCACGTGTGGGGCAAGGAGAGGAGGAGGGAGAGGAGGGGAGAGATGAAGCGCCAGCGCCCGGCCCTCACCAGACTGGTCCTCGGTTGTGTCTGCTTCGTGGATCTGGTTGTCGAACCACATGTGGGCCACGGTCATGCGGTTCTGCGTCAGGGTCCCCGTCTTGTCCGAGCAGATGGTGGAGGTGGAGCCCAGGGTCTCGACGGCCTCCAGGTTCTTCACCAGGCAGTTCTTGCGAGCCATGCGCTTGGCGGTGAGGGTCAAGCACACCTGGGCGGAGAGAGAGGAGAAAAAGAGGAGAGAGGAGGAGGAGGAGGAAACAGCGGCAGCAACAGCCCGCCGGCCGGAGGTCTGCCTTTCACCGGCCACTTTCCTCCCAGGCAGGCCCTCCTCCTAAGACTCAAGGTCAGATTCGCCCTGCCGGGTTTTTTAAAATTAAAAGGAATTAGTTTGCATTTAAATGCATGTAGAGCTTTTAAAAAATGAATAATAAGCCCCTTTTCCTGAGAAGATATTAAGTCTAGTGCCAGGAGTAGAGGGTTTCATCCGGGGGGGGGGGNCGCCCGCGCCCCCAGAAAGGCAAGCACCCCCCCCCCCCAGTGCTTTATTCCTAGCCTGTCCTTTCGGCTTATTGGGTCGGCACATGGAGAAGCGCTTGGTGGTGCAGGGGACCCAGTGTGTGCATGTGTGTCGGGTGTGTGTGTGTGTGTTGCAAACGCCACCTCCTGCTCCTCCCTCGTCCGGAGGCTCCCCAAATCCCGCCACGCTGGAGCCGCTTACTGTGACGGTGGCCAGGAGCCCTTCGGGCACGTTAGCCACGATGATGCCGATGAGGAAGATGACGGCCTCCAGCCAGGTGTAGCCGAGGATGAGGGAGAGGATGAAGAAGGACATGCCCAGGAAGACGGCCACCCCGGTGATGATGCGGATGAAGTGCTCGATCTCCATGGCGATGGGGGTGCGGCCCACCTCCAGGCCGGACGCCAGGGAGGCAATGCGGCCCATCACCGTGCGGTCCCCCGTGGAGATGACGATGCCGCGGGCCGTACCTGTACGGGGGGGGGGGGCCGTCAACCCCGCCTCTCCTTCCCCAGGGCTAAGGGCAGCATCTGCGGCTCCCCTTGGCACCTTTCCTCCCTCCCTCCCTCCCTCCCTCCCTCCTGAAGGACAAAGAAGACTCTTGCTGGCCATGAGCTAACAACGCTGCAGAGTTTCAACTCCCCCTTTTGACCCAAAAACCACTTCTCCTGGCTTGGTCAAGAAAGGGCCAGGGGAAACCGGAGAGGCCTCAATCCTGCAGCCCAGAGGTGATGCTGAAGGCCGGCCTCTGTGGAACAGGCCGAGAGGGCCTGTTCTCTGCCTCTCCTTTGGCCGGGGTCTCCCAGGCACTGCAAAGAGGGGGCCCCCTCCCCGTCCGTGTCCACCTTCACCGCCCTTTCACCTTCCACACAGTTGGTGGAGAAGAAGCAGATGTTCCGCGTCTCGAGGGGGTTCTCGTGGGTGAACTCGGGCGAGCGGGTCTGCGGCTCTGACTCGCCAGTCAAGGAAGAGTTATCCACCTGCCCAAGTCAAAGGAAGAAGCTGTGGGACAGAAATACCCCTGAAGGGGGCGGTGGGGGGGGAATCTCCGTGGGCCAAAGTGGCCGGAGCGGTTCAAAAGAGCCGGCTGGCCTCAGGGTCTGTTTGCCTGCAGAGCTCCGGGGAGGGAAGGATCAGGAGGTGAGCGCCCAAAGAGACAGAACATCGGGATTCTGAACCAATCCACAAGTTTTCTTAACTGGCTCACTTCATGGTTTGGGACTGGCAGTCAGAATCCTGGCGCCGGACTGACTGAGCGTGCGGCCTTCCCGGGTTCTTGCCCGCCTCACCTTGCAGCCGTGGGAGGAGATAATCCTCAGGTCGGCCGGAACGCGGTCGCCTCCCTTCACTTCCACCAGGTCGCCCACCACCACGTTCTCGGCATTGATCTGGATCTTCTCGCCTTCCCGGATCACCAGGGCTTGCTGTGGAGGAGAGAGGTTACGCCTGCAGGGAGAGCCCCCTAAGGGGGTGGCTGGCCTCCCTCCCTCCCTCCCGGTGCCTCTGGGAAGCCCACGCAGACCCCCCCCCTTGGGACTGGGGAGGAGCTTTGCACTGAGGAGCGGAGGTGCCCAAGGAACCTTTGGTTCTCCTCCAACGAGGTATAAATCAGATGGCACAGGTTCACTGACTGGCCTGCCAGAGGCAAATAACAGGCTTCGTTTGAACACGGACTGTGCAAACATGGAGGGACAGATCCCTGGAGAGCTAAGGTTTCACCATCCTCAAATTGCAAAGGTGCTTCCGTATCTGTTTCCACCATAAATAGTCACCTGGGGAAGGGTGGCTGCAGGGCCACCAGGCGAAGACTGGGGATGACGTGATCTTTCCAGGTTCCGCCACAAGAGGGCAGTGGCGCACTTCTCCTGGGGAGCACCAGTCCAGCAGCTGGGCTGACACACCTGGGTCTCCCCCCCCCCCC